TAATTAATAAAGAGTATAATTAACCAAGTTAAAACTTATCCTTCGCAACTCCTTTAACCTGTGTATATAATATTATTATTTATTAACTTTGCGTGGTATTGTATTGATTTGTTGTATTGACTTAAGGTGTAGTCACTGAAACGTAATCTCTGAAATATCCAGAAGTTACTCATGTTTTATTGAGAATAATCTTTGACGTTTACTAAGAATCTTCGTTGTGATTCCCTGAGTATAGTCTTAGCATTATTAATTTTGAAAATTTTATTTGAGTTACAAAATCGGACGTAACAATGTGTAAGTGAATTTGCATTTTCATTTAAAAAGAATACGAATAGGAGCAAAAATCTTGTCACAATCCTTCTTTAATAGAGGAGTGAGTTGTAAGTGATATTCGATTAAAAGACAAAGGATCATATTAATAATATATAAGATCTGCTTGTCTGTGAAAGGTTTGTAGGTCATTAGATTGACAAACCAACTAATATCTTGATTGACTTGGTTTTTGACAAAGATTTGTGATTATTTGGTGTTTATTCAGACTTCCAAGAATCTAATTAAGCCTTTTTCAGAAGTGATATTTATTGTAGAAAATCCAAATCTAAGGTTGATACTATTAGAGTGCGGATTTAGTAAAAAAGTAAAATTCTTCAGTGATCTTGAGAATATCTTTGAGATCTTCCTATGAGTTAGCAATCCAATTTGTATCATTCATATAAGTGAGAGAGGATATTGTTTTAGATAACTGGTGAGAAGACAGATAGACTAGGTCAGTTAGACTATTATGTTTGATAATGTATTTTTTATTTGGATTTGCAACTTTGCATAAGAAAAATCCAGATAAATGCATCACAATATAGGTGATATAACTTCTTCTTGGTTAATAACAATCTTAACATCGTAATAATCTGAGATGCCCTGTGCAGTAAACACAGCATTTTTTCTTGAGGTAAAAAGATTGATAATTAATTGTATAGCAAATGGGAGAGGTATTTTAATTCTATCTAATGCACGTCGGAAATAGGTAAGATCAACTCTATCAAACGCTTTAGATAGATCTTGAAAAAGAATCCAAATTTCTTTATTGTTTTCATTGACGTCTTCTAAAAGCATATTAATATTTTGATTAGTAAAACAGTTGAGTCACCATTGAGGCCAGTGAAATTACCACCTCTCAGAATATGATGTTGCTTAAGAAGTTTAGAAATCAGATTATTAAGAATTTTAACGAAACCTTTATGAATAGTTTCTAAGAGTGTAATAGGATGAGTTGTGGTGATATCACAATTCCAGTCTATTGGTTTAGGAATAAGATAGATATGAATGATTTTCCATTCATTACGTATTCTCCTAATAGAGAAATATATGCTGATAAGTTGCTAAAGTAAATGTTACATTTTAAAACCCAAATAGGTAATCATTTCATTGGTGATTCCAAAGGGTCCAGCTGCTTTATCAGAGGTTAATGAATTAAGAATAGATAACTATTTATCGAAAGTAGGAGGTTACATTAAATTGGAATACCAATTATTATTAATGTATTCCTTAAGGCGATACTGTGCTTTTCACTTTTGAGACATAAAATGAGTAGGAGAATTAGAAATAGCATAGTTTTGAAAGTGATCAATAACAGCATTCTTGATTTCAGTAGTATCTTTAGTAAATCTATTTTCACCAGTGTCTTTGTTTATAGATAAGTAGGCAATCTATGATGATAGAACACTTTTTCCGATTTAAAATAGAATCAATCATTTTAGATGTATCATTTAATAAATCATTACATCTATTGTTCAACCAGTTGTCGAATAGCAGTTCTATTTAGTTTTAAAGTATCAACTTTGGCCAAGGCTATTAAAGATCGATGCATGTCTTTAATGTATTGTTTGACACCCATAATGTTATTTGATTCAAGAGTTGAAGGAAAAGTATACTGAGGGAGTTTTATGTTAATAATGATTTTATTGAGGTTGGAAAATATTAGTGGCCAAACAAAGCTGGTTGGCCAAAGTTTTTGTTATAATAATCATCGTTTAAATATTAATAAAATTGAGCCAATTTTTTTGGCAGCCTTTAAAGAATCTGAGGTATCATATAGATCTTTTCCTTTTTGCATAAATGTTATTAGAGCTCCGAATTAGATCAGGTCAACCTGTGACCTGACTCAACCTGATCTGAAAAATCCAGGTCGGGTAGACAAATTTTCAGGTCAACATCAGGTTGGGTCAAGCTTATGACCTGACCTGATAAAATTCGGGTCAACCAATTAAATTAAACGAAATAAAATATTTAAAAAAAATTTTTTTTTGTTTATTTTTTTTAAAACATCTTTAATTTTATTTAATATACTTTTTTTTTATATTCTAATAAAGTTGTTTGTATAATTACTT